AAAGGGTTGAAATTTGAAATGTCTCAGAAAAAGACTTGAGGTGTCTCCCAGTGGATGGAATCATTCTGGTCATCAAAAAGTCTCAAAAGTTAGAAAACCTGAAAAATGTGGAAATCTCAAAAATGGTACTGCTGTTCGCAAAGTTTCCTTCAAACCAAAGAACAACACCAGTTTTGCTCGAGGAGTCCTCTGAATGGTCCATCCCTTCGCACCCCAAAGCGAACACAGCCAAAATTCCAGAAAAAAAACCTGTGTAAGATCAATTGTTGATTTTTTCATTTCAGCCCCATCGACAAGATGGAAGTCGCGTTCCCGCCTGAGTTCGTGTGGTTCTCAGACGGATGATGAGCATGGTCGTCAAGTTGGGCTGGGAATCATGTTAAGCGCTGCAGAAAAGAACTTCCTGTTCCAGGTACAAAATTACTCCTTTCCATCTCTAAAAGACGCCCAAAATTCGTATTTTAGCACATTCCTCTCGTTGAAGCTGAACTGTCCCGTCTTGAAATGCGAATTACCAGTGCCGCAGCGAACTCGACTACATTTTTCATCAATGTTAATAAGGTGATTTACCTAGAATTTTTAGCGCAATTCCACTTGGTGGGGGCACCGAATGGTGCTCAGAGAAGCTTGTAAAGGTTATCTTGTAAAGACCTGTGAACTTTTGCAACCAAAGTGGCTCACTTGTACCACTTCGCAGTTTCACAAGAGTTAACAGGTTTAATCAAAGTGGCACATGTTAGTTGTCATGGATTAACAAAAAGAACTAGCGAAAGTGCTAGATGCCTTTTCCAAGGAGAACAGCGCAGAGTTTTTTTCATAATGGAGGCTCACACTGATAGCGGATAGTAGTACGTAATAAGCCCTGTCTGAAACTTCTCAGTAATCAAGCAACGGGGAACCATTTTTCAAGTGGTGCTTAAAATAATTAGTGTAAAGGTGAAAAAACGAAGGTTGCGATGGTTTTTGGATGAAAACAAGCGTTTTCGCGGTGATCACATGACTCAGAGGGCATTCCGAACAGGGTTGGCAAAGTGCTCCTCGTTTGTAAGCCTTTTCCCTATAGAAATTCTCATGAGAGAATAGATGATGTAAAAGTGGCGCCATTTTGAGCAGCGGTGACGTGATGCACTTGGCCCGCAGGGGTCGAAATTATCCAGAATCGGCTTGGGAAATTAGGCGTGCTTTGAAATGTTATGGACGATGCCGGGGGAGCTGTATAATAAATTGACCCGTACGAATTGCCGTCGTCAGTTTATGTGCGCCCACTTGTGCGGGTGTGTGGGTGTGCGAAGAGCGGATTTTGGATTTAGGAAACGTCTGCTTTTAGCGCGTTCGTTGTCGTCATATCGTCATAATAATTAACAGCGTGTTCTTTGTCGTGGTTTGTGACGCAAGGCGACGCCGTGTCGCGAAAGAAACCTTTTGTCATGACATTAACAATTGGATAAACGACTAAACAAGAGCAGATGACGTGCAAGAAAATGGCATAAAACGCGAAATGCTGGCGCGTGGGTTGTTGAAAGCACGTCAGCTTGGCGGGGGTGATGGTGGGGGGGGGGTACGGTTGGAGCATGAATTTGGGATGGGGCGTATCATCGGTCGTTCAGTAGAATTGCCTTCCACCGTCATCTCTTGTACGCCTTCCCCTCCCCCCTTCACCCCTTCAGTCTCGGAGCCCTGGTTCACTTACATTCAACTTCCATTAAAGGAGATTGCTCGTTGAGATCACTTAGAAGTGGTAGTAGAAATATCACGTCAAGGATCGATTCCATCAGATCTAGATCTGTTTTAAATTCTGTCAAAATATCAAAGGCAGTGGGCATGACTGCTGGGGCGGGGGTTGTCTCCAACGTGATTGGTGGAAGGACTGAGTGGGTTTGAGGCCAGATGCCCTCTCGCAGCCCCTCGACCAATGACGGTGGCAACATCCGATCGCCTCCACCAATTGTGCCCACTGCCTTTGAACGGGACTTTACCAGCTGGACTGGTAAACAAGGTGCAATATCGGGATGGGCAGAATTTTCGGGTCATGTCGACCCTGTCCACTCTTCTTCCTCGAGTACGATTCCCTTTTTATTCTACCCAAGTTCTTCCAACTACCCACCAACTTGGGAAAATTTTTTTCGGTGAAATTTCTTTCAAATTCCCACCGAAAATGGGGAAAATTCAGGTCAAGACCTTATACGTCCCCGTCGAATAAATACGAAACTGAGCAGAAAAGCAGGGCTTTGAGCTGATAGGACTTTGAGGCGCCGCCAACGGGCTCCATAGCACACGAAACAGAAAATACTGAAGACTCAAAGACTGAAGAATTCTCTCGCGGCTCAGAAAAATCCAGGTCAAGACCGCATACGTCCCCAGTCGACCAAATGTCCCCCCCCCCTCCTTCTACTGGGCAAAACTCCCGGAAAGACTCCCAGCGATGCTGTATCCTTATCGGAAATGGTTTGAGATGTAGATAGATATGAGGTATGGATAGATATTGACTTATGGTGAGATCTTAATGATTCTTGGCTGTTGCTACGAAAATCGATACCTGTCTCCTATCGCTTGTGAGTCGCCCCCCACCCCCCCCCGGCGCCCTCCCCCCGCCCCCCCGACATCTTCCGTTCTTTTTTCTGTTTTTTTGTGTTCGGCGGCGCAGTATTGATATATCACTAAGGACTAATAACATCGTATTCTCTTTGTGATTTCCTGCTATAGTTCATCAGATCATTTACGGGAGACGTGCGCGCTCATGTATGATGTACGTGGCTGTTTCGCTGATGGTATTATTTGACAGATTTGAATATTTTACACGTACACCCTCCAATTGTATGCGCACTTTCGGAGAGACGCCATAGGAATGTGAGCATTATGGGGAGATTTGATTGCGTTTCTTGTGGCATTTGAACATTTTCCGATGAATTATGTGAGCGATTTATGCGGTGCTTATCCGGCTGTCACCAAGGTGGCATTTTCATGGCCATGAATGTTCGCGGACTGACCGCGTGGGTGTGGATAGCATGGGGTCGTCGTTCGCGACATTAAATCGTCGCGCGCTCAGCTGGAATTTTTGGCGACGTGTGTGTTTATAATCGAATTAGATGCGGTGACATTGTACGTCCACATCGAAGTTATCCTAGCACCCCGCCGCCGTCTCCCATGTGACATGGTTCAGCTGGCCGCGCGCCAACTCGTGTGCCGCCGTCTGGGAGTCACGGCATGACACTAAGGTTGTCGGGTGTCGTTGGAATGCACGCGCAATTTGTTCGCTGTAGGAAAGGGACTGGTGGGGACGGGATGCAAGTTGGTGCGAGTGCTATTGCTTCATTATTGTATAGGATGTCACTTAGCTAAGACAACGACAGCGCAAGGGATTAACTTCAAGAAATTCCAAATGGAAACTGTTTGGAGGGCGTTTCAAAGGTTGCTTTTTGCACTTCCGCTGCGTTCACCAGTTCCGGTTTACAAGTCTCACTCTGGTGAAACCTGTGAACTCTTGTGAAGCTGGAGCAAGCTCGTCGAACCATCGTGGTAAAACCTGTCAACTCTTGTAAGCTCACGAAATGGCTGTCTGGATGGTTCAGCACGTGAAAAAAGGGCAAATGCCCCCTTCCGGCAGAAAGCCCCCTGTTTTGGGATTGACGTTTACAAGGGAGTGGTACGTGAAATTTTTGCGGTTTTGTTGTTGGGATCAGTTTACTGTGGTACAGTGTTCTATTGAAGTGTTGGTCGGAACATTGGTCGGAACCCCCTCGCCAGAAAATCATGTTATTGCAGACAAGATAATGCATCGGACTTGGCGAAAGGGCAATGTAACTAAGACCCCCACCTCTTCAAATTTCCTTCTCCGGCAGAACTCCCTCTCACCACGTAGTTCTTGCTAGTCCGAAAATTTACCGTTGAACGTGGTGGGTAGATACCTGCAGTCAACTACCAGAAGTAGTTCTTTTGCTAACTTCAGCATGGACAGAGAGCGATGGGTCAGGAGTGCGTGAACGGGTAAAATACGCACTTGTGAAGAATTCATTGTCTTCCTCATGCGGCCCCCTCCCCTGGCGATTGAATGCTGCCCCCTGAAAAATTCCGCACAGTGCTGTACCTTGTTTGTCTGGTAGTGATTTACGAGTTGTACTTTGTAACTCGAACTCCACGCGTTCAACCGTTTCTCGAACAAACATGAATAGGCTATTCATTTCGATAATCTGATGACCTTGCGTAGTTGCGCGCTATACTCTTTCCTCGCTAACTCTGCAGCCGCAACGGTCAATGCACGTGACATTGTTTCATAGAGGTGCAGAAGGGACAAGCATGTACATCAGGTTTTGGACACAATTCGTCTAAGGAGGGGTGCATTTTATACTTTCGCTACCTCTTTAGTTCCGGTTGATAAATTTCACTCTAGTGAGACCTGTTAACCCTTGTGAAGCTGGAGCAAGCTCGTCGAGCCACTACTATTTAACTCATTGCTTTACAAGGATTGGCAGGGGGTCTCTTCAAACTTTGGCTGTGTCATATGTGCTGTTCACGACAATTTCACACTCTCATCTCGGTTGATGGGTCGATGCGGTCTGAGAGCAGAGCGAATACGTGCGAAATGCACCTCCCCCCCCTCCTTCCAGCTGAACTGTGTTGAGGCACGTTTTACATTCCTTCCAGAGATCCATGGATGGCTATGCATGAAAAGGCGAGAAGGCGGCTTGTATTTAGCCCTAACACTACATAGATACAAGGGCTGACCTTTCATTCCCTGAAGTTTTCTTGAAGTTGCTATTCTTTCGATAAAAATTGGCAGATCCTCTGCCAAAATAAAAGAACTCGAATTAGTGAGAGCTTGTCATTCAATGGCGACTCATCCCATGGTAGTGCAACATTCAGTTTTTCAACCACGTTATCTGCCTTCGATACCCTTACAGTTAATTGAAGAGCACTAAAGTTCAGTTATATTCGGAGCTCTTGTTTTTTTTTTCTGAATTGCTAACTCGGGAGTTTTACCTCTTAGCGGTGGAATCGCTGGGATGCGTCAACTGTGGAGTAAAGACGAATACGAGAAACGAGTTGAAAAGGAGCCTTGTTAGTGAGTGATCTTGCTCCTAAATCGTGATGTTTAGGCTTGGCAAGACTTTTGCTCGTCAATATGTCAACTTCATAACGCACCACGACTTCGCCATCCCGTATGGTTGAGCTTGTTGGAACGAGATCATAACAGAAGTGTGGTGAGTACGGACTTGCCTGTAAAGCAGCTGACAGCGCTTTTGAGAATTGGACACCGCAAGCCATATTCGAAATTTAGGTTCTTTGACAGAAAACCGTTTATATTTGGCCGCTTCTATAGGAAGTACTGTGGGATGCGGCAGAGCTAAACACGTAGAGAACGGTCCCTGTGGTGCAATTATTGGTTCGGTCTTGGTCAAGGGCCAGCGTGAAACCTTGACGTTCTGTATGAAGGCAATAGATGACTTTATCGTCGCGTTTTAGCCCTCAAGAGTCTTTGGTATGCCCAACTGCGGAGTACCGTTGCAATTAGATTGCGTGGCCTATCCCAGAGCAATATTGATTGCTGTCGGGACCACATCTTTCTGAGCTTTCACTACCCAATTTACATTTCTGCTGAATCACCCAAAATTTTTCAGTTTCCTATCGAATCTGATCTCCACAGTGTTAATGCATCACATGTCGTGGGTAGCCAGTGTAGCGCCACCGTTACATGCGCCAACGCATCTTCACGAGAAAAATCCGCTTGTTGGCTCGGTATGGTTCTTTTTTAATTTTTTTCTTGATCTCGTTTTTCCCTTTACTGCGGACTACTGAGTAACCTCTTTGTAGTTCTTTATTAATGTGCATCTCCTCAGTCTGCTTTTATAGATTTTCAACGATGAAGCACCATATATGCCATACAATGCTCAAATTGCCCAGTACTTGGAAATTAGTGGCAGTGTCGGAAGTGTACATCGAATGGCAAAGGTAGTCAAGTTCTTTTGATAATATTTTTCGCGGTGGTTGAACCCATGGGTCCACACTGATGGGAGGGGCTGTGCCTTTAGAGGGCTGATGTAGATAACAAATAGAGGGAAGATTACTTTGAGAGTTGTATTCCTCGCAGGAGCTGACCATTAACTCCGCTTGATTGCTCGACACGACGAAAGGGAAGCAGCGAAAGTGCAGAGTGCCCCCCCCCTTCCATCTGTGCTTGGGATTGTAACCCTCTAACCATGAGCCGCATCCATACTTAGCGATTCGAACTCTTCAGTCGCGCTTTTGTTTGGAAGAAGTTTCATTGCGTCATCATTAAGAGTTGGGACTGAATGACTCGGGTCGCAAAGTATGAAAGCGGCCTGACAGGTTTCGTCTGGCGAGACTGATAGCAGTGCCCTTTGGCTCTTCAGACCACGCTACCATGGGTACCACGCGCATGCTCCGAATCAAACCCTGGACCGGCTCCCGCCCAGGCCAACCAACCCTCTTTCCTCCGGAGACTGTAAATTGGAACCAGATTCGTCTGCATGCCAGAAAACGGTGGATTAACGGCGAAGACTTTGTCCGAGCTCAGAAGAAAACGCAAACTTTGGTCATGACGTATGGACAATGATGTTGAGATAGTACTCCATTGACATTGTGATGTTTTTATACGATTACAGACGGTTGTGAGCGGTTTCGACAGCGATCTCATAACATCAATCTTGCAAGTGCTGTCCTATTTCATTCGTTGTTCGGCCATCCATACAAAA